GGAGGAGGGGAGGGAGGGAGGGACCATCTGACCCTGTAAATTCCATGCTTGCAGAAGCCATCACTACCTCCATCATCCAATATCTGTTCCTCAGATTTATGGAAACTTGTCTCCCAGCACTGTAGTTATTGGTAGCCATGTATTGACATTTGAGTATTGTTTAGATAGTTTGTCATGTAAGATGCTTTTCATATACCTGAGATAATTCCTTGTAATATGAAAAGAGTAGTCCATTAGATCTGTATATTGATATCTCACTTTATAAGAAGTCCAACTTGCTGCTCTAGCAATATGACTCGTTATGCACCTGTAGTATCATTAGCATAGCACAATATATGCGCAAGTTTTTGTTCTAATGGCACCTTACCTTCTCAAAAAAGAAAAAAATGTGTTAGTACTAATGGCTATACTACGTTCTTTACCTTACACAGGTTGCGGAGTCAAAGATAAAGAACTATGATCTGGAAGTATCATCCTTAAAGCTTGAAATTAAGGAATTAGGTGAAAGGTTAGAGAACATCAATGCTACTGCACAATCATTTGAAAGAGAAGCTAGGATTCTGGAACAGGAGAAAGTCCATCTGGAGCAGAAGTATCGGTCTGAGTTCAGTAGATTTGAAGATGTCCAGGATAGATGTAAATCAGCTGAAAGAGAGGCGAAAAGAGCAACTGAGCTGGCTGATAAAGCAAGGGTCGAAGCAGCTACTGCCCAGAAAGAGAAGAGTGAAATCCATCGAGTAGCTATGGAAAGATTGGCTCAGATTGAGAGGCACGAGAGAAGTATAGAAAACTTGCAGAGGCAAAAAGATGAATTGGCTAATGAAGTAGAGAAGCTTCATGCATCTGAGTTCGATGCGCAGTCAAAAGTTGCAATACTGGAGGCCAGAGTTGAAGAAAGGGAAAAGGAAATTGAGTCACTTCTGAAATCAAATAATGAACAGAGAGCCAGTACTGTGCAAGTCCTTGAGAGTCTGTTGGAGACTGAGCGTGCTGCACGTGCAAGCTACACAAGGAAAGTTGGACCTTCTTCAGCAACAGTTAACTGCAGTTCGGCTGAATGAAACTAAAGCGAAAGAAATACTCAGAAATCTCAGTCACATTTCACAACAGACTTCAAGTACTCAGAAAATCAAACTCAAATTTCAGTTCACAACAGACTTCAAACCAAAAATCTCAGTCATTAAAGCAGTCTCAAACTTGAGTCAGCTCCTCAAGTTCCCAGCAGACAGAACTTCAACAGCAATAGACAGACACTACCAACTGCGTGATCTTGAACAAGATACACAAGGGATTCATGCTACCAAAACAAGTAGGAAGAAAAATACAAACAAGAAACGGAAGCAGATGGTTCTCAGGTGCATACTGAACCAGAAGCAGATGGATCTCAAGTGCATACTGAACCAGAAGCAGGGAATCACAATTCGAATAAGGAACTCGAGCCAAACTTATGAATTCAACTCAATTAACTCATACGATCGAGTAGAAGTTCAGTTTTTAAACTCATACATCAAAATCTGGAATAAATAACCTGGTGACAAGATGACATTGCTGCTCATCTTCTTCCTCAGAACTGGAATAAGTAGAGTTTAGCTCAAGCCATTTTACAGCAGCTATATGGAACAAGTTGGTAGGAATATTTGGTGTTTCTATTAGAGGATTGCAATTCAAACACATTAAGGTTGGTTCTAGGATCATTAATTGTTTTTAATGCTTTCAGTGTGCAGGTCAACTCAAAATTTGCATAAAAGACCAAATAGAACTTCAGCAGCAATAGACACTAGATTTCAGGTCAATCACATTCAATTCAAACAAGCAGAAACAAACAAGGATAAGTTCATCAACTCAAACAAGTCGCGGGGGAATCACAATTCGAATAAGGAACTCGAGTTGCCCTGTTTGTAATATATCATAGCATTATACTTGCTAGAAGTCATCTGTCATGTGTTTACTTTACAAAACATGCCAGTGCTTCAAATGGTGTATGAAGACCTCAGTTTCATGACTGCTATTTCATTATCTATTGCTCTCTTATGTAAATGGTACTAAAACTGATAAAGTTACAATCGAATTATGGAAGCATATAAGTTGAAACTATATCTTGTTTCCATTTCTTGCAAGTTTACATGAAATTAGATTCTAATGATAAAAGAATTGGAGGAAAATTCAAACAATAGAAAACTCAAATAGTAGCACCGAAGGATAAAGATGAGTAGTACCTTGAGACAGTGAAGTATTTTCAGCAACACTAGGTATCCTTGATGTTTGTGGTACTCGTTCATGGCCACTGTTGGCGTCAAGGACCTAATAAATATTAACACATTAGATTACAATTCTTTTATAGGATTAAAACTTCATTAAGAATGCCTATAACTTCTGAAAATCGAGTTACCTGTTCACTTGAGGTGCCATTGATATTTTGAGGCATAGATTCATTAAAAACATATTTGCGCATCAATTGTCTCATTTAGAGTAATTCTGATTGCATCTTCTCTTGATTTTGTTTCATCAGATTCATTTCTTCATTGTGTTTATCCTTTAACTCGGTTATCTCCTGTGTTAACCTTTGTACGGCCTCATTAGACGAATCCTCTGCAATAATATTTCCTAAGGAAGATCTACTACCCCATAGCATAGAAGGAGTTGGACCAAGTCCTAAACCACGAACATACCCACTTTTGTCATTTCCGAACACCTGGGAATACACATCGCCTTCCCAAGCAACACTGCGAGGAGGTTGATCAGTAGAGCTCTCACTATTATTCATCCTTTCATTTATCATTTCCTGACCACAGAATACATAAATCCAAGTTGGAATTCATTTATTCGCTTTTATGTTTTTTCCTAAACTATTTCCCAATTCAGAACTTTAAATAAAAAAAGAAATCTTACGATTGCATTGGCAGAATCAACATCCAGTGGTCTACCATCCTTACGTTGTTTATGAGTTAATAAGAAAATTTGTGCTCATGTAGGTTCTACCCCATTTACAGCCTAATACAATAAAATTGATGTCAGATATGCGTGGAAAAAAAAGGATTTTAAAATATTATAATTAGTAATTTTTACAAGTTTACCTGCTCATCCATCAAGGTAGCAATACTTTTGGATCCTCCTGTGTGAGGCATCGTTTGATTGGCCCTGTTGTTTCTATTTACTTGGGTACGCCTCTGTCATTGAAATATTAAAATGATATCTTATAAATTATAAATAAAAATTGAGCATAACTAAAATCAAAACACTGAAAATAATCAAGTAGAGGTGTTTTAAAGATTTGTTAATACCTTAGCTTTATCTGAAAGCCAATAGGAGACAAGATCACTCCGTTGATCCCTCGGTATGCGACTTGGTTTATTTTTCAGCAAAGCGTCTTTAGTCTTATATTTTGGCATATACTCACCTTTTAAATCGCACTTGTAATCTTTCCATTTCTTTCCTAGTGACTTTAGGACATAAGCTTCTCCCCGTCTTGGGATAGAGAACTTCTTCTAAAAAATAAAAGCCAACATTTAGAAGAAAATATCATGTATAAAAGATTGAACTCGTTCATATAATAATAATAATAATAATAATAATAATAATAATAATAATAATAATAATAATAATAATAA